AGAGATCTAGCACAAAATAATAACAATTAATGCTAAAAGAATTTCCTTTGATCTCAGCAAGTAGCTGACTCTTCAAAAATAGCAAGAAATTTCTTCAGTATTATTGAGGGAAAAGTATTGTCACTTCTAGAAATGGCAGACCAGTATTTCAGTGGGCGCTTTACAACTGTCATAAATAAAGTTACTAGTATGAGTGTGATCATAGAAATAAACATATTCCACAAAATGGTGGACTCATTCTAATTCTGAGATTTTAATTTTTATGGACAAAATACTGTAAATAGATGTTATTCAGAGGATTAATATTTGAAGCGGGACTCAAAAAGGTTATGTGAATTAAAAACAATCACTGGAAAGATTACTACAGAAACTGTAGAAAATATTAAACGGAAATAAAGGTTAGAATTTAAGTATTTAAGAACAAGTATTCTGGATGCCAGAAATGCAGATGTCTTATTGCTGAAGGTGAGGATCCCAACCTAAATGCAACAGATGCCAGGAAAGGTGCACAGGGAAATGAAGGTACTATTGCTGGGACAAAAGTAATGACTTTTCTGTCAGAATGAGGAGAGAGAAAAGCTAGAAAAATGAACAATTATCTTCAGATGTGTGTTTGGATGCAAAGATAGATAGAAAAAAATCCAGAAATTTTGGTCATATACATAGAATAAAAAAAGACTTCCTGCATCTATGTCAAAAAAAAAAAAAGATGGAGGATTGTGGACAGCAGCCTGTTTGGCAATGAAAAGTTTAGTCTTACTTTAATTTTAAAAAATAGCAAGAATTTCACTTATTTTAGTAGCATGAGAAGAGGGCTTTCAGTGTCCAGCTTTACACTATTAAAGGAACAAGTACTGAAGAAATTCATCAAAACAGATTGAGGCAGACTATGATTATGGCCAGAATTTTTAAAGGACACAGATTTAATGATTTGAAGGTAAAATCTAGGGCACTTTGTTTGTCAGGGATTATAATACACAAGATCAAAGCAGCTTCAGTGACAGTATTTAAACTTACTGTTTAAAAATAAAGTTCGTGTTTCCTTGAAAATAAGAACACACTATACATTAGAAGCATTTAAACTTGTCTCAAATACAGCAGTAAGAGTTTTTGCTATTAGAACAGAAATGCAATCTACACATTGCAGACCCATAGCTATTTCAAAAAGACAGCAATTAGGATTATTAGAGATATTTTTCCTTTGTAAAATAATCACCAGAAAGTTCTGTTTAACCAGGAACATATTTTTTCAAATGAAAGAGAGTGCCAAGCAGCATGTAAAGCTTCCTAAATTCATTTGGCTGACTAATGTTCCTATTCCTGTATGAGTCAAAGTAGTAAAAAAAAAAAAAAAAAGATATAATGCACATCACTGTCTGGTTGTCATTTAATGCAAAACACACAAGTTTTGCTGAGCTCACTTAACAACTAGCAAATGGAGGCTGAAAATTATGAAGTTGGAACTCAGGTCTTCTTTACGATAAACGATTAGCATGTTTAAATTTGAGCCTTCCTAAATTTCTAAGCACTTCATTTACTGAATTATTTGGAATTTATGTAACACGTTATTTGTTTAAATGCACCATGTCTGATTCCTCAATGCCTTACTTCAGTCTATTATGGCAGTTACACCATAAAAGTCAGTATCTTGATATCCTACTCCCATTTTATACACAATTATGAAATCTCCATAAATAGAGAAGAATTTTTTGGATCAACATAAAATGGAGGAACAAGCATCCACACCTCCTTACTACTGCGAGTTTTTGGTGTGTGTTGCACACATCTTAAGTTCATTCTTTTGTCCAGGAGCAACTGTTATGGAGGGAAATGTTGCATGATTTGTACAGGGTTCATTTTCTGTTTTAAAGGGAAATAGACTGTCAGGACACGCACGGTTTTGTTTTATAGTCTGACTTATAACTGCCAGAATAACATTTCTTTTAAGTAATTAGATAACACATGTTACTAAATAAACCTAAGAATCCATGCAGAGAGGATGTATCATACTCTAATCAGAATGAAAAGCATATATTGGTTGCTGCTATCAAGCAAAAACCATAGAGCAAAGAAAATATTATACTGTTTCTCATGCTTCTATATTAAAATAAAAGTATTTACCTTTCAGGTATCAAAATACAACTTCTTTCAAAAAAAAAAAAAAAGCCGAATATTGTTAAGTTCTTCCTCCTAAAATGAGGAGTTAACTTTACCTAACATTGATTTTCCAGTTTCACAACAAAGAATACAACTATCCCAAGAAAAGCTATAGATCAAGTCAACAAAAAAAGTTTAAGATTATCCTGTATTGAACTCAAATAAAGCTTTATACTGAGGAAGTTCTATTGTGCTGAAATACTCACCTACCCTTTGCCTTACATCTTTCATGATAAAGCACGGTGTAAATTCTCATAGGGATTATGAATCTTTTGGAAAGGAAATATAGGCAGCTGGTACGTATTTCTTGGCACATGTTCTTCTACGTTCAACCAGGACATTCTCACAGCTCAGGCTGTACCTTCATTACATACAGATTGTCAAATCTCCGGGGCACAAGGCTTGCAGATTGTGCTTAGGACCTTCACTGCGTGTAGGTTTGGGCACAAACATAGGCTGACATCCAAATAAAGAATACTTCATACGTACAGCTGTTTCGGCACGATGTGTGCTCCTCTATACATATCCAGAGACTGGGCTTGGATACTTGGATTCCTTCCCAACTTTCATTAGTTGTAAGGAAAAAAAGTGTTATTTGTTTAGGAGGAAAGCCACTGGAAGACTATTAGCACATGCGATTCTGCCTGTATCAGGTAGACAGATTGCAGCCAAAGCAAATGCAGAATTTAGGTGCTACTTCACATTAAATAGGCTGCTTATACTTAAAAGTACTTCTAAAGCCATACTGAAGGTACTTCTAAAACCTTCTTAAGCTACTTCTATAGATGGTAAAGAGGACCTGGCTAAGCTTATACTTGGCCTTAACAGCCAGTGAGCTGATGTCCCTGGAGCGAATGGCAGCAGAACGAAGAAAAGGCAGCAGCTGAACAGGTCACTAGATGAAAGTTTGAATAGTTAAAGCTATTACACGGAAGTCAGCTTTAGTCATGTGGAACGGCCACACTTTGAAATATCAAGTTACACAAACAGATGGGACTGGCAGACTGATGTGTTCAAACTCTGAGTTGCAGACTCCTAAATCTTTCTGAATGGAAGTTCAGAGGTTGGCACAACTCTCAAACTGGGAATTAGGACTTGTGGCTGGTTAGTAACCCTCCTCATTCCTACTTCATGTGTCAGCCACCCTCAAGACTGAACTCATAAGCCCAGCAGCTCAGCTTATTCAAGCTTAAAGTATGAATTAACATAAAAGAGTTAAACTCTCAACTTGTGTGAACCCAGTGCAGGTTTAACTGTTTAGACTCAAAGTTTGGATTGAGGTATTTTTTTCTCTGGCACAAGGACTCATTACCTACACAAAGTAGAACAGCTTCAGCAAAACAGACTGGAGTGTTTTAACCACTAGGCACCTGGGCTCAGGTGAATTCTTACAGATTAGCCTTTCCTAGATGGATTGAATCAACATGGCTTGCAAACCCAGAGATAATCACTGTAAACCATACGCTCACCTTCCTGTGACAGCCCACCCTAAACCCGCAAGCTCTGCAGAACAGTCTGGGATGAGGTCTGCAATCCAGTCCTGCCCCAGCCCCAAGGCTGCCGGCACACACCCCTCTGCTGCCCAAAATTACTGAGAAGCCAAGAAAGGCAGGGGGAATACCAAGATTCTCAGTCAGATTAGAAACTCTTCACTGAAACATTAAGAAACGCCATGTGAATGGCTATAACGCAGGCTCCAAATCACAGAAGAGGTAACTCAGGAGGCTTGGACTAAATGATTGTGACCTTGAGGATCATTCTTGAACCTGATCTTCTCCAACCAATAGGTTTTGCAGCAAAAGAGGAGCAAAAGAAAAATAACCACATTCTACAGTTCCTGCATACTTATAAGCACTCTTTAACAGCTGTGAAGGGCTAGTAGGGATGAAAGCTGGGTCTACGGTGGACCTGCTTGAGAGATCCTTCCAGGAGCTCCCCAAACCCTTGACCATTCTCCGTGGGTAGTACCGGCCCTGCGGGAAGGAGCCTGCACTCAGCCCACCCAGTCTGCGCCACCTTGTCTCATTTCTGCTGTCGCTTCAAGTGCTAATGGAATAGCTGGAGGCTCAAGACTTACCCACTTTGCAAAACTGTACTTCAAAGCGTGGTGTAAGCAGTGAGAACTGCGAAGGCCTCCTTTAGGGAATACTTGCAGTGATATCTTTGACCCGATGCCAGAGATGCTTAGAAAAAGGCAATATTGCTAATTTAGCCTTATGTCTAACCTGCAGTCTGCTGCACAAAGCAAAGATAGCACCAAACATATATATAAAGCAGAAAATTCCCAATCAGATTTAAAATGGTTATCCCATCTATCTACCTTGTATAATTTAAATATTGCTTAAACAAAAAGCAATCAATCATTCACCCAGTGGTTATTTGATAACAACAGGAAATTGGAAGATAATTTATTTCTCGCCTTATTGTGATCTAACGTATTCATTAATCTGAACTCCTAAACTGGCATTTATTTAGACGTATAGTAGGAATAATATCTTCATTAATGTATCTACTTTCATTAACCTCAGATACAATGCACACTACCAGTCTGAATCAAACAAAATACTTAACACTATTTTTGTTTTCTCTGGGCAGTTTGTAACTGTAATGATTTTCAGTTTTCACTGTTACACTAATAAATGTCTGATACAATTTGCATTTGGCAATTATTAAAATCATTCAGCAGAAGCAAACTATATTTTATGTGCTCCCAGCAGTCAGCTATTTCAGCACTGATAATATCTGTTAATACCAGTTTTGCAGGTTTACATATGGTTCAATACACAATCCAAATAACTGCCATTCAACAAAAATAAAGAGGAGCACTTCCCCTCGCCACTCACCTTACACTGGTCCATCTCCTTTTTCCACAAGCGCACAGGAAAAAGAACTGAATTTGCAGTGTGTTTAAAAGGCTGACTAACCTCAGGTTTGGCACACCAAAGACCAGGGAGAGAACAAACGCTTTCGTTTTCATCTGTCAGCACCCACACCACTCAAATGGAAGTGCGTAGAGAGATTTTTCCTGCCTTGCTTCAAATAAATGGGTGTTGTGTTTACATACTGCATACTGCACACTGCCCACCCTAAGCCAAGGGCTGTGTCTTGCCAGCTCTTAACTTCTGTACAATATGGTGATTACATGAGCCAGCATACCATTAAGTCACATAACAAAACTTGGAGAATGGCACTGTTAGCTTGCAGAACTGCATGCACCTTAACAACTGAAATGCATTGCACAAAACGGGGAACCTATGTGTCAGTGTGATGTGCAAACCGGGTCAGACCAGACTGGGTAGAGCCCCCAGTCTACGCTACAAAGTCAACTGTCACAGATCACAGACATAAAAGCCTACAGACACACGCACGGTACAAGCAGGCAAAGAAAAAAAAATCACGAATATAAAAAGGTATAAAATATAAAGCGGTATAAAAAACCTCTCTGCTCTTCCAAGAGGTTTCTAGACTACCTGCTGTATATTTTTCATGCTACACTTTCTTCCAAGATGTTCTTTCCAGCTGCAGTATTCACAAACTGGTCTCCCAAAAGCAGAATCAAAACCAGAGAAAAGGGGGAAAAGACCTTAGTCCATTACTCAACATGTAGAGGACAACATCTTTCTGGCTCCTGCAGATTCTCCTCTTCTACCTGATGAGCAGCATATCTATGCCTACCACGAACTCCAAATGTCTTCTAGCGCCTAGTGGTCTTTTCTTATAGAATTGAGCAAGAAAGATTAGAGATCAGAGCTTACTATTTCCCTTAATATAATGCCTCTGCAAGCTCACACAAATGTATCAGATATAAATTTTACATTCTTGTTTTAGCCTGTCAATATGAGACAGGAACTGGTAATTTTTGCCCTCTTCAATTCTTTTTTACAACTACTATATCCATAATAATTTATACAGAGGCTCCCACTTCAATTACACAAACATGCTATGGATAGGACTACCTAAAAAGGTCATTTAGCTAGTAGCAATGAATATACGCATTCAAGGGTAAAAAGCAGAGCTCAGATCTCAGACCTTTCTAATACTGAAGTTTCTAAGAGACTGTACATATAACTCATGGCTGAAGATCAAGTGTCTCTACCACATATTTGACAGTCTATGCCATTAGCAGTCTTCTGAGTTACCCCCATGTGTGACTCCTTTTTGCAGTATATTTCTCAGGAAATAACTTAATCCTATGTAGATTGTCTTCCAATTGAACAAAGAACAAGCAAATCAGAGACCTGCTACGTGTTTTTGCAAGCTATATCACACTGCTATCACTCATCATATTTTCTTCAAAACGTAAGTGCAGACATCAGCGATATTTGATTTGTTGTAATATTAGCATGCAAAAGAATGTACAGTCACTTCCAGTAATAGTTTTAATTACTAAGTATATAAGCCTGCAAATCCTCTCATGCAAGTAATCCTTCAACAAGATTAATTCATGGAAATAGTCCCATTGAAGAAGGATGTGTAAGACCGGACCCTAAATGTTTAATCATAATTTTAAAGTCATTACTGCTTAAATAACAAGATGCTGGCGTATTTAAAATAGGGGTTTATATATTTATCAAACTGTACAGCTTCATAAATAATCCTTTTAGGACTGACACAGTTGGGGAACATGTTTCTGCAGTTCCTCCAGTTTCTCAGGTTAAGACTGATGTAAATAAACTGACCAACCTTCTCACTCTAGTCTACTATTCAGCATGACTCCTTCTTCTCCTTCAGCACTTTAGCTGCAATGAAGTATGACTTAGTTACTCCTTCAGCTGCACTAGTTATATATTATCCTTGTGTAACATTACCTTAACATCAAAACCCCTGATTGTTTAAGTACTATCAAGGCATTATTAAGTACTTTCAAGGCTTATCGAGGTAGTGGTTCTCACTTCTTATACTACGTCTCATGCAGGATTCTTATTAAGAAATGTTAGTTTCTTTCCTAGCATTCCTATCCTATTCTTTTCTCTGTGCCAGCTATCAGTCTAGACAATGTGAAAAGCTGCTACAGGGGAACACAAATATTAAAATTCACCTTAATGCACCCAGTGCCACAATGCACTTATGTTCCCTTTCTTGTATCCCTATCACTTACTCTCTCTTCGCACAAAGGTATTCATGGTTTTAGTGGAAAGCCTTCCTTGACATATCTTCTGCTCTGATCTCCTTGGAATGATTAATGGTTTAGTATCACATTTGTTTGCTAATCCTTAAAATGAAGGAAACATGCTTTGGAAAGCTAGGAGTCTGTCACTGTCTCCCAAAAGCAGGAAGCATAACTGCTTGAAGGCTGACAGATGCTTCACCGCTATGACAAGAAGCTGTTCCACAGGCTACAGTTTGTGATCCCCTGAGTCAAGCCATATGGTACTGAATGCCAGGACTGCCTCTTTCCCAGTTTACTGGGAGAGAGGGATTATTCCTGCTTTGCTCCGAATTTGGCAAAGTTCTCTGTGGGCTTTAAAAGTTTACAGTTCACACGAAATGAAATGCTTGATCACTTGCACTTGTAAACCCTCATTTGCCTGCTGATTTTTTAGCCTGACATGCGTGCTGCCATGGGCTAAGATAACACAGTACTTTTACCGAGTCCAATTTTAAGTAAACGTATAAACTTTAAGTAAGTATACAAATATGGCTCTCAGTGTTTAAGTGACTCTTCCCAATTAATAATCTATTCAGCATGCGTGATCAAGTCTGCATATAAGGTCCAAAACAACAGTTTTGAGGTGCAAGGCATCTTTATCATGTCTTAGGAATAACAGCAATGAATTTATGCTGTTAGAATTCAGAACTGCTCATTTAAGATTAAACCTCACTGTATTTCAGCATCGCAAAAATTAAAGTCAAGCAAATTATAACTCCTTAAGCATGGGTACGCTCTCCAGTGCTCTAGCCACTTGCATTTTAAAAACCTGAGAAAGTAAGTATTTCTAATTCCTCTCTTCTCTCCAAAGGCTATTTAATTGTCCAATAGATTTCAGTAAGGTATTTCCCTTTTTAAAAATGTATTTTATGTCTTTTCTGTATGCTGCAGTTACGAGTCGGGGAAGACCTAGCAATCACCAACAGATGAGGGAAGGCCAAAAACTATTTTGCTTCTGAACGGGAAGGGGAGGCGAAGGCAAAAGCCTCCTGAGCAGGACCAGCAGCGCGAGCGAGCGCCCGGTGTGCTGCTCTTGCCCCTGCAGCTCAGCGCTAAGGTCAACCAGGACAGAGGGCACCGGCACCCTGCAAAGCCAAGCCTTAAAAACTTTTCCTCTTTAGAGTTCCCGTACGCGTTTTCTTATTATGGGATGGCTTTTCCAGTCCTTTCTGCAAAAAAAAAAAAAAAAATGCGCAGGAGAGCAACTGCCATCTCCGGGGACCGCGGCGCGGTGAGGGCAGAGA